ATTGGAGTGCATTGGAATCCATCGAAATCCACAGGACTCTTGCGGACGATTGGAATCCATTTGACTCCAGGGGATTTCATGGAATTCAACAGGACTAGTTAGCACACTCGTACGATTTCTTTCGACTGAATGGAACACCCAGTCGATTCCATTGGAGTCAATGGGCTTCATTGAATTCCATTGGACACCATAGAGCAACATACCACTCCATTGGACTCCCCCCCAGACCCCATTGGCCTCCGATCGACTCCACTGGATTAAGTTGGGCTGCTGTGGAGGCGGAGGGAAGAGCTATGCTAAGCCCTGCTGAGCCTGCTGAGCATTGCCAAGCCCTGGCAAGTTCTGCAAAGCCCTGCTAAGTCCTGGTACGCCCTGCTGAGCACTGCTAGGCACAGCTAAGCCCTGGCAAGCACTGCAAGGCCCTGTTAAGTTCTTGTATACCTTTCGGAGCCCTGGCAAGCTTTGCTTGGCCCCGCTAGGCTGAGCGAATCCTTGCTAAGCCGCGGTAGTGCCGAGTAAGCCCCGAATTCTGAATGAACCTTGCCACACTCTGCTCCACCCTGGTGAGCTCTGCTAAGTCATGCGAAGCCTTGGCAAGCCTTGCGAAGCCCTGCAGATACCTGGTCAGCACCGCTAAGCCGTGCTCACCCTTGCTCAGTCTTGCTCAGCCTGGGCAATCTTGGCTAAGCCCTGGGAAGCCTTGCCGAGCCTTGCTCATTCTTGGCAAGCTTTGCTCTGCGAAGCCTGGCCAAACCTTGATAAGGCAGCTGCTAGCTACTGTGAAGCCCCGGCAAGCTCTGTAAAGCAGTGCCAAGTGCTGGCACGCCCTGCTGAGCCCTGGTAAGCTCTGCTATGCTAGCTAAGTTTGGCAAGTCTTCCTAAGCTATGCTACGCCATGCTCAGCCTTGCTGAGCGTTGCGCAGCCTTGGCAAGCTTTGCTAAGCCCTGCTGTTCCTTGCGAGGCCTCAAGCCCTGCCAGGCCCTGTAAGCGCCTAGTAAGCCTTGCTAAGCCTTCGTAAGCCCTGCTCAGGCCTTGGTAAGCATTGCGAAGCCCTACTGAGCCTGGTAGGCATCGCTAAGCCCTGGCAAGCTCTGCAAAGCCTTGCTTAATCCTTGTGCGCCCTGCTGAGCGCTGCTAGCCACTGCCAAGCCCTGGCAGGCTCTGCGAGCCACTGCTAACTCCTGGTGCTCCCTCCTCAGCCCAGGCAAGCTCCGCTCTGTCCTACTAGGCTCTTGGTAAGCCCTGCTGAGGCCCGGCAAGCTCTGCTAATCCCTGCTAGGCCTTGCTAATACAAGTTCCGCATGCGAAAACTGGTTAAGCCTTGCTAAGCCTTGCTGAGACTTGTTCGGCCTTCACAAGCTTTGCTGAGCCATGTTGATATTTGCGAACCCTTACGTCCTGCCGCGCTTGGCTGAGCCCTGGTGGGCCCTGCTAAGGCTTGGAAAGCCTAGCTAAGCCTTGTCAAGCCCTGTCAGCCCGGGTAGACCTGTGTGTGTGCGTGTGCGTGCGTGCGTGCGTGCGTGCGTGCGTGTGTGTGTGTGTATGTGTGTGTATGGATTTGTTCGTCTTCGTTCCCCCCCGAGAAAACAACGCGGCGGATGTTCCGTGTTTTTTTTGGGGGGGGGGCGCGCACCCCCACAAACATTAGCCTGGCGAAGGACCCATTCATGTGCAGCTGCGAGTGCCTTGAGGGAGATGAGACGAAGCAAGGGGGCGCGCAAACTCCGAGCAGCTCTCACAGGAGGCAGCGCGCCGCAGGAAGAACGAGGCGCGGGGCAGTGCAGGCAGGGATGTAAAGGGGGGAGGCCGGTTCGGGATGGTGGGCTCTCAGATGCTCCCCCATCAGTGTTCTTGCGTCCTGGTGACCGCGGCTCTGGGCAGAGCGCACCGCGGAGTTCCCGCGACGCGCGCCCCATGCCCCGCAGGGGTCCTGGCGACGCGCGCGGGTCGTCCGCTGCGCGGAGCAAAGAGAGCTAGTTGGCTGGCCAACAGCCGGCCACGCGCTGGCCGTTGGGCAGAGCGACGACGAGCGAACGAGGTGGTGTGCGGAACGCAACACGGAGCCTCCGCGACGCGCGCTGGTCGCCCCGAAGGAGTCCTGGCACCGCGCGCAGGTCGTCCCACGCGCAGCCGTTCAGATGCCGCGCAAGCCCCTCTCTCCCGCGGGCGCGGGGCGCTGTCGTTGGGGTCTTCGGTGGAGCTCCCTATGGGGCCACTAAACGTGGGATGGGCGCCCCGAGATACGTGGCGGGCACGCATGTGACCACCCCCGCTGGGGCTTTCGGTGGAGCTCCCTACTGAGCCACGAAACGTGTGATGGGGTGTCTCGACATAGGTGGCGGGCACGCATGTGGCCACCCCCGCTGGGGCCTTCGGCGGATTTCCCTATGGGGCCACGAAGCGTGTAAGGGGTGTGCCAAAATGAGCGGTTGGGACGCATGCGGGCGGCGCCACTGACACTTTCAGTGGACATCCCGATGGTGCCACGAAGCGTGTTCGGGGTTGTGCCGGAATGAGCGGCTGGGGCGCATGCGGGCGGCGCCATTGGGGCCTTCGGTGGACCTGGAAAGGGGCGCCGCGATGCGTGTGATGAGTGTGCGGACTTGAATGCCTGGGACGCGTGCGGAGGGTGCCGCTCTTTTTTTCTTCTTGTTTTTATTTCAATGTTCTAATGGGGAAGCGAAGCGTGTGAAGTTTCTGTGCCGACATGGGCGGCTGGGGCGCATGTGAGCGGCGCCATTGAGGCCCTTCGGTGGAGCGATCCTCTGATGGGGCCGCGAAACACACGAAGGGTGTGCCAACATGGGCGGCTGGGACGCATGCGGGCGGCGCCACTGGGACCCTCGGTGGACCTCCCTATGGGGTTTCGGGACGTTTGAGTAGTGTGCCGATATGAGCGGCTGGGACGCATGCGGGCGGCGCCAGTTGTGGCCCCCAGTGGACATCTCCAGGGGGCCGCGAAACGTGTGAGGGGTGTGCCGACATGGGCGCCTGGGACGCATGCGGGCGGCGCCTGTGGGGCCTTTGTTTTTTATATGTAAAATGATGGGGCCACGAAGCGTGTGAGGGGTGTGCCGAAATTAGCGGTTGGGTTTCATGCGGGCGGCGCCATTGGGGCCTTCGGTGGACCTGGAAAAGGGGGGCCACGAAGCATGTGAGGGGTGTGCCGACGTGGGCGGCTGGGCTGCATGCGGGCGGCGCCTGTGAAACCTTCGGAAGGGGTTCCCAGTGGGGCCGCGAAATGTGTAAGGGGTTTGCCGACATGGGCGTCTGGGGCGCATGCGGGCGGTACCACTGGGGGATATCGGTGGAACTCCCCATGGGGCCACGAAGCGTGTGAGGGGTGTGCCAGATGGTGGACACGCTCAATGCAGAGGCAGGGATGGGAGGAGGGAGGAACAGGAGAAATGAGAAAAGGAGAGGGGACACGGGGCGCTGGCTCTTTTAAGCGAGGACCCAACACCACAGGATGGGAAATATGCAGGCGAAGGACCCAACCGTATGCAGCTGTGCGTACCGCGGTGGTGCGTATCCTCTTTGGTGAAGGCCCCCGTGGTGCCATTGGGGCCTTCGGTGGAGTTCCCCGTGGGGCCACGATACGTGCGAGAGGTGCGCAGAAAGTGGTGGCATGGGCGCACGTGGCCACCCCCGCTGGGGCCTTCGGTGGAGCTCCTTGTGGGGCCACGGAGCGTGTGAGGGGTGTGCCGGAAGTGGCGGGGGGCGCCTGTGGTCACAGCCGTTGGGGATTCTCGGTGGAGCTCCCTGTGGGGCCACGAAGCGTGTGAGGGGTGTGCCGAAATAGGTGACGGGGACGCATGTGGTCACCCCCGCTGGGGCCTTCGGTGGAGCACCGTATTTCCACGAAGCGTGAGAGGGGTGTGCCGACATGGGTGGCGGGGACGCATGTGGGGCCACGAAGCGTGAGAGCGGTGTGCCGGCATTTGTGGCGGGGACCCACGTGGTCACAGCCGTTGGGGCTGTCGGTGGAGCACCGTATGGGGCCACGAGGCGCTGTACCGGGTGCGCTGAAATGGTGGACACGCGGAATGCAGCGGCAGGGAAGGGCGGCCGGGGGGGGAAGAGGAACGTCCCCCAACAATGCCCACACACACAACACACATCACACAACACACAACACACAACACACAACACACACCACACACCACACACAACACACAACACACAACACACAACACGCAACACAAACAACACAGAAAGCACAAACAACACAAACAACACAAACAGCACACAACACACAACACACACAACACACAACACACACATCACACACCCAGACACACACGACACACACAGACACTCACACACTCACACTCACACACTCACACACTCACACTCACACTCACACTCGCACTCACACTCACACTCACACTCACACTCACACCACACACACCACACACACACACGCTCACACTCACACTCACACACATACACACACACACACACGCTCATACACAGACACGCACACACACCACCCACGCACGAACACAAGACAAAGAGAAGACAGCAAAGAAGAGTGAAGAAAGGGTCCAACAGAACGCATAACTCTACAATTGCCTGTCCTCGAGGCCAGTGTCCTCCATTTTCGACGTGGACACCGAAGCCCACGCGAAACACTTCAAGGCCCCGCCCGAGAGCGCCTGGGAAACCGGGTGTCTGGGTTCTTCAGGATGCAGAATCTTGGCTGCAGCAGAACAGCTGCGAGCCTTGGGGCACTCCGCTTCGCTTCGTGACATGGGCACGGTGGCGGATATGTATGTGTACTTATACATTTAAATATATATATATATATATATATATATATGTATACGTGTGTGGCGTGTGTACATTAAGATGTTACGTGTGTGGCGCGCGAAGTCAAAAGTCCCACACGCCTGGTCAACCCCAGCAAGGGGGTCAGAAGATTTTGTAGTATTGTTTTGTTGTGGATTTCTGCTGTGGTCTTGGGAGTCCGTAGGAAGGTACCAAGACGGCCCCCAAGATGACCTCCGTAACCATTTTGGCTCAAGCTTTTTTGGCACCGGAAGCAGCCGTTTCGGTACCCGCCCCCCCTCTCGGACGCTTCCGCAGCAGCGGCATCGGCGGCCGAAGGAGAGAGAACATGCAGTTCGCGTGGGCGGTGCTGTGCCTCCCGGCCGTCGCCGTGGCGCAGATGGCCGGCATGACCAAGGAGGAGCAGGGGCCACCCATTGTGATCGCGGAGTGCACCCTGCAGGGGGGCTGCGAGGCGCAGCAGAGGGCCCTGACTCTGGACGCCAACTGGCGCTGGGTGCACGGCCAGACCTGCCAGGGCACGGGCCCCGCCGCCCAGTGCTACAGCTCGGGCAACTGCTTCACCGACGGCGTGTGGGACTCCACCATGTGCCCCGACCCGGAGTCCTGCGCCGAGAACTGCGCGCTGGAGGGCGTCACGCTGGACGACTACGACAGCACCTACGGCGTCGCGGCGATCCCGGGAGGCGTCGAGCTAGGCTTCGTGCGCGGCCCGAACGTGGGGTCCCGCCTGTACGTCCTGGAGAAGCCAGACAAGTACAAGCTTTTCAAGCTCCTGAACAGGGAGTTCACCTTCGACGTGGATGTCTCCACACTTCCCTGCGGACTGAACGGCGCGTTGTACTTCAGCGAGATGGATGAGGATGGGGGGATGAAGCACTCGGGCAACAAGGCTGGCGCCAAGTACGGGACAGGCTACTGTGACGCCCAGTGCCCCCATGACGTGAAGTTCATGGAGGGCAAGAGCAACACCCTCGAGTGGAACACGAGCGCAGCTCTCGGCAAGTACGGGCTGTGCTGCGCGGAAGTTGACATCTGGGAGGCGAATTCCATGGCCACGGCCTTCACGATGCACCCGTGCACCATCGATGGCACCTATTTGTGCAAGGGCAAGGAGTGCGGCGACAACGCCAAGAACGAGCGCTACGATGGCGTCTGCGACAAGGATGGCTGCGACTTCAACTCGTACCGCATGAGCCACCAGCAATTCTTCGGACCGGGAGACGATTTCACGGTGGACACCACGCAGCCGATGACCGTGGTGACCCAGTTCGTGACAGACGACGGCACCGACGACGGCGACCTCGTGGAGATAAGGCGCCTCTACGTGCAGGGCGGCAAGGTGATCAAGAACTCGAACGCCGGCATCCTCGGCTCTGACGGCGGGGACTCCATCACCGACGCGTACTGCTCCGCACAGAAGGATAAGTTCGGCGACCCCGACGATTTCCGCAAGAAAGGCGCCCTGAAGCAGACGGGGGAGGCGCTGCGCCGCGGGATGACGCTCGTCCTCTCCCTGTGGGACGACTACCAGTGCCAGATGCTTTGGCTCGACTCGGACGCGGGCGAGGGCGGCCACTCCACGCCGGGCGTCGCGCGCGGCCCGTGCGACAAGACCACGGGCGTGCCGGCGGACGTGCGCGCCAAGTACCCGGACGCGTCGGTGACCTACTCCAACATCATGTACGGGGAGATCGGGTCCACGTACACTGCCGGCGAGGGCGCAAAGCCGGACCAGGCCGTGGCGACGGGGTTCCCCAAGGCCGCGGCTGCGGGCGTCACCGCGGTGAGCGGGGGCGCCGCGGCCCTGCCGCAGCAGCAGCAGCAGCAGCAGCAGGCACTGCAGCAGCCGCAGCAGCCGCAGCCGTCGCTGCCGCAGCAGCCGCAGGCCGCCCAGCCGGCGGCGGCGGCGGGCGCGGGCGCCTCCGCCGCGGGCTGCGCGGACGTGTTCCAGCAGTGCGGGGGCGACGGCTGGGCTGGCGCGTCGTGCTGCCAGGCCGGCTGCACCTGCACAGCAGGGGGGCCCCTCGTACAGCCAGTGCCTGCCGCCCGCGGGCGCCTACCTGTGCTCTGGCACGATCGGCCTCGTGCAGAGGAGCTCTCTGCGCGAGGCGCCCGCGCAGCGGGCCGGCGAAGGAGGCCCCGCGGCGCGTTGGGCGGCCCCGCTGGCCGTGGCGCTGCGGGCCGCGGCGCCCGCGCTGCTGCTGGCGGCCGCGGCGGCGGCGTGGGCGCGAGCGCGCCGGGCCCGGTCTTCCGCGCAGCTGCGCAGCGAGGAAGCAACCCTGATGGCATCTTCCGAGTGAGCTGGCTGGACTCCATCCCTGGATCTCCCCGAGCTCCCCATTGCTCGTCCTCCGCCGCTTCCCTCCTCCTCGGCTCTGCGCAGTTCACACTGGAGCACGCCCCGCCCCGTCCGGTCGGCCCTGCGGCTCCACTTGGGGCCACCCTCGCCCCGTCAGATACGATTCTCGCCACGGCAGTGCTTAGCTGTAGTGCCTCTGGCCGTGCGCGTGCGGGTCAGCCGGGTGCTGTCGGCTCAGATCGGTTTCGGTGTTGAGCCAGAATTGGTTTGCTTTGCCAGTGCATGGTTCGTGGCGCGCAGAATTCGAGCTAGATCTTCTGCTAAAGAATTTGGCCTTCGTGCCCCCGATGCGCCGTTCGAGGCGCACAGTGCACTTTTTGGGGCGGGGCTGGAAACTCTATTGATGCAGTTTAGTGCGCCGTTGACAGTAAAGACGGTTGCATGCATCAGACTTGTTCACAGATCCAGGTCGACGAATAGATCTGTGACATGGCTGATGCTTATATGTAGAATGCTTCGAAGGCGCCGTTTCGTTTTCCCGCTTTCATGGGACAAAAAAGCGGCCCCAGATATTGCCCCAAGACAGAGAGGTATCCCGAAGGGCCTCGAACGTACCAAGAGAGCCTGACGACAGCACACAAGAGTGCCCAGACGTTTCAAGAGAGCTCCCAGAGTGTCCCAAGAGACGCGCCGATGTGGTGAGGCCTCAGAAATTCCCAGAAAGCCCAGCCAGAGCCCCAAACGGTTCCAGGTCCCCATGACAGGCGAACCCGCCCCCGAATACAGCTCCCAAACAGCTTCTGAGAACCCGAGGGAAAGAAGAGCCCAGCGCGCTGTAACACAATAACAGCAAGGCGTCCTCACAGCTCACATTGGAATTCATACCGAGATGAATGCAGCTCCAGAGGAGGGAGGAGGTCTTTCTAGCATCCAGAACCTGGACTGGACCCTGGAAAGGAGCGGACCTACGCAGATGTCCCAAGGAAGCGCAAGAGGACACCAGAGGCTCCCACATGACTTCCAGATGGCGCCTAGAAGCTTCAATACGGTCTCCAGGGGGCTCCTACATGGCCCAACTCAGTCAACATACACCAAAGTTGACTCCAAATGGATATAGCCAGGCTGATCGAACGAACTCCACAAGATTCCAGTGGACTCCAGTGGAGTCCATTGTCTTCCATTTGGCTCCATTCGATTCCACGGGCCTCCCGCAGACTCCAGAGGACTCCATTTGACCCCGTTGAACCGAATTGGGCTCCAATGGGCTCCACTGGCGTGCATTGGAATCCATCGAAATCCACAGGATTCTTGCGGACTATTGGATTCCATTTGATTCCAGGGGACTTCGTGGCATTCAATAGGACTGACTGGAACACCCAATCGACTCCATTGGCGGCAATGGGCTTCATTGGATTCCATTGGACACCATATGGCAACATACCACTCCATTAGACTCCCCATCAGACCCCAAATCGACTCCATTGGATTATGTTGCACTACTGGGGAGGCGGAAGAGGAGGAGGAGGAGGAGGAGGAGGAAGAGGAGGAGAAGAAGGAGGAAGAGGAGGAGGAGAAGGAGGAGCCTTGCAAAGCCCTGCTGAGCCTGCTGAGCACGGCCAAGCCCTGGCAAGTTCTGCAAAGCCCTGCTAAGTCCTGGTACACCTTGCTGAGCACTGCTAGGCACTGCTAAGCCCTGGCAAGCACTGCAAGGCCCTGCTAAGTTCTTGTTTGCCCTTCGGAGCCCTGGCAAGCTTTGCTTGGCCCCGCTAGGCTCCGCGAATCCTTGCTAAGCCGCGGTAGTGCCGAGTAAGCCCCGAATTCTGGATAAACCTTGCCACGCTCTGCTCCACGCTGGTGAGCTCTGCTAAGTCATAATAAGCCTTGGTAAGCCCTGCTAAGGCCTGGTCAGCACCGCTAAGCCGTGCTCACCCTTGCTCAGTCTTGCTCAGCGTGGGCAATATTGGCTAAGCCCTAGGAAGCCTTGCTGAGCCTTGCTCATTATTGGCAAGCTTTGCTCTGCGAGGCCCTTGATAAGGCAGCTGCTAGCTACCGCTAAGCCCTGGCAAGCTCTGTAAAGCCCTGCTAAGTGCCAGCACGCCCTGCTGAGCCCTGGTAAACTTTGCTATGCCAGCTAAGCTTGGCAAGCCTTGCTAAGCGCTAAGCCATGCTAAGCCATGCTCGGCCTTGCCGAGCGTTGCGCAGCCCAATTGGCAGGGCTTTGCTAAGCCCTGCTGTTCTTTGCGAGGCCTCAAGCCCTGCCGAGCTTTGCTGAGCCCTGCCAGGCCCTGCAAGCGCCTGGTAAGCCTTGCTCAGCCTTCGTAAGCCCTGCCCAGGCCTTGGTAAGCCTTGCGGAGCCCTACTGAGCCTGGCAGGCATTGTTAAGCCCTGGCGGGCTCTGCAAATCCTTGCTTAATCCTGGTACGACCTGCTGAGCGCTGCTAGCCACTGCTCTGCCCCTGCCCTGGCAGGCTCTGCGAGCCCCTGCTAACTTCTGGTGCTGCCTCCTCGTCCCAGGAAAGCTCAGCTCAGTCCTACTAGGCTCTTGGTAAGCCCTACTGAGGCCCGGTAAGCTCTGCTAGTCCCTGCTAAGCCTCGCTAAGACTTTCTCAGCAGGTGAAAGCTTGTTAAGCTTTGCTAAGCCTTTCTGGGACTTGTTCGGCTTTGACAGGCTTTGCTGAGCCATGTTGATCGCCGCGACGCCTTACGTTCTGCCGCGCTTGGCTGAGCCCTGGTGGGCCCTGCTGAGGCTTGGAAAGCCCAGCTAAGCCTTGGTAAGCCCTGCTCAGCTCTGGTAGACGTGTTAATGTGTGTGCGCGTGCGTGCGTGTGTGTGTGTGTAATTGTGTGTGTGTGAATGTGAATGTGAATGTGAATGTGAATGTGAATGTGAATGTGAATGTGAATGTGAATGTGTGTGTGTGTTTGTGTGTGTGGGTTTGTTCGTCTTCGCTCCCCCCCGAGAAAACAACGCGGCGGATGTTCCGTGTCTTTTTTTTTGGGGGGGGCGCGCACCCCCACAAACATTAGCCTGGCGAAGGACCCAACCATGTGCAGCTGCGAGTGCCGCGAGGGAGATGAGATTAAGCAAGGGGGCGCGCAAACTCCGAGCAGCTCTCACAGGAGGCAGCGCGCCGCAGGAGGAACGAGGCGCGGGGCAGTGCAGGCAGGGATGTAAAGGGGGGGGGGGGCGGTTCGGGATGGTGGGCTCTCAGATGCTCCCCTTGTGTGTTCTTGCGCCCTGGTGACCGCGGCTCTGGGCAGAGCGCAACGCGGAGCTTTCGCGACGCGCGCCCCAAGCCCCGCAGGGGTCCTGGCGACGCGCGCGGGTCGTCCGCTGCGCGGGGCAAAGAGAGCTAGTTGGCTGGCCGACAGCGGGCCAGGCGCTGGCCGTTGGGCACAGCGACGACGAGCGAGCGAGGTGCTGTGCGGAGCCTCCGCGACGCGCGCCGGTCGCCCCGAAGGAGTCCTGGCGACGCGCGCAGGTCGTGCCACGCGCAGCCGTTCACATGCCGCGCCAGCCCTTCTCTCCCGCGGGCGCGGGGCGCTGTCGCTGGGGTCTTCGGTGGAGCCCCCTATGGGGCCACGAAGCGTGGGATGGGTGCCCCGAGATACGTGGCGGGCACGCGTGTGGCCACCCCCGCTCGGGCCTTCGGTGGAGCTCCCTACTGAGCCACGAAACGTGTGATGGGGTGTCTCGGAATAGGTGGCGGGCACGCATGTGGCCACCCCCGCTGGGGCATTCGGCGGATCTCCCTATGGGGCCACGAAGCGTGTAAAGGGTGTGCCGAAATGAGCGGCTGGGACGCATGCGGGCGGCGCCACGGAGACTTTCAGTGGACATCCCGATGGTGCCACGAAGCGTGTTGGGGTTGTGCCGAAATGAGCGGCTGGGGCGCACGCGGGCGGCGCCATTGGGGCCTTCGGTGGACCTGGAAAGGGGGGCTGCGCTGCGTGTGATGAGCGTGCGGACTTGAATGCCTGGGACGCGTGCGGAGGGTGCCGCTCGTTTTTGTTCCTGCTTTTATTTCCGTTCTGTTATGGGGAAGCGAAGCGTGTGAAGTGTGTGCCGACATGAACGGTTGGGGCGCATGTGGGCGGCACCATTGGGGCCTTTCGGTGGAGCGAGCTCCTGATGGGGCCGCGAAACATACGAAAGGTGTGCCAACATGGGCGGCTGGGACGCATGCGGGCGGCGCCACTTGGATTCTCGGTAGACCTCCCCATGGGGCTTCGAGACGTTTGAGTAGTGTGCCGATATGAGCGGCTGGGACGCATGCGGGCGGCGCCAGTTGTGGCCCCCGGTGGACATCTCCAGGGGGCCGCGAAACATGTGAAGGTGTGCCGACATGGGCGCCTGGGACGCATGCGGGCGGCGCCTGTGGGGTCATGGTTTTTTATATTAAAAAGATGGGGCCACAACGCGTGTGAGGGGTGTGCCGAAATAAACGGTTGGGTCCCATGCGGGCGGCGCCATTGGGGCTTTCGGTGGACTTGGAAAAAAAGGGGCTTCGAAGCATGTGAGTGGTGTGCCGACGT